CTGACTCTGTAAACCGCTTAGAGGGGGCTGAAAGCCCTATGAAGCGGTATATAAGTCTAACTGCTATTGCTATCTTGTTTTCAGCTTCTGCACACCCCATTTCTGCCCCTTCTCGGCAGCGGGGATTGGAATGGGCAGAAAACGGGGCGCGCAGAAGCCAAAAATGGGATGCAGGGGGTAAAAATGTGGCACGCGGCAGCCGCAATCCCTGCAGTCTGAAACGGGGGATGGTCAGGAGGCTGATCCAACCAACGATCAGCTGCTTGTGCTAATCAGGCTGTGCTGAAACTGAAAGTTCGCTATTTGCTGCAAGGAGGCAAATTGCTGGGAGGCAAAGGGGGGGGCCGGCAGGTGGGCGGGGATACATTCAGTGTATAAGATGCACCCAAATTTTCACCCTCTTTTGGGGGGGGGGAGTGCATCTTATACTCCGAAAAATACTGTACATTTTTTTTCCAATCAGGACAGGAAGCTATTAAAAGAGAGTCTTTCAGCTTTATTACAAATAAATCAAAACGATCTGTTGTCTTTCCCCAACAGGCTCACCGCAACAATACATGATGGGTCTCTATTTGGGCCTTTTCCTGAACAAAATAGGGCTGGTTCTTTTCTTCATGGGTCTTTTCAAAATAAAGGCCCGTCGATGCTGTATTGGGAGACATTTCTCCCCGTCTTCCGAAGGCTGAAATCCCCATTTCACAACTATTCCCGACCACATTCTGGATGGGAGGAGATCTGCCAGGAAATCAATAAGAATGTTATTTTTTTTAATGTACAATGCTTCTTTTTGTAACCATCCGTATAGTTTACAAATGAATAAAATGAATAAAACAGAGAAAGAAAAAAATCAACTTCCCATCCTTCTGTCACATCGGGGATTCCAAAAATACATGAATCCAGTCGACTTACAAAGCTCAGTTACAACATCACTGAAAAAAGTGACTTACGACTGTTTTTCACACTTACAACCGAATGCAGCAATCCCCATGGTCGTGTGATCAAAATTCAGAAAATTGGCAACGGACTCGTGTTTATGACAATTGCCGGGGTCCCCGTGACCCCCTTTGGCGACCTTTTGACAGGCAGTCAAGCAGGATTCACGTAATTACTGTGTGACTAACTTAGCTGCAGTGATTCGCTTAATAACCGTGGCAAAGAAAAGTTGTTAAAATGGGGCAAAACTCACTTAACAAATGCCTCACTTAGCAGCGTAAATTTTGGGGCGGAATTGTGGTTGTTATGTCGAGGACTACCTATGCTATTAATCTTGGTCTAGTTTAAGGCATAAAGTTTTTAAAAGATGGGAATTACAGAAACTACCATGAGAGTTTTCTGGCTGTCGTGAACTTCTCAGTGGCTTTTAATCATGGTACACTCCTGGACCAGCTTTGGGGCTTGGAAGCAGGAGGCAGATGAACAGAAGGACTTAGTTGGAAGGGACCTTGGAGGTCTTCTAGTCCAACCCCCTGCTCAGGCAGGAAATCCTGTACCAGGGGTCGGCAACCTTAAAACACTTCCGGTTAGGCCACAAAGGTCCTAACTGGAAGCCTCCATTAAATTCGGATCGACCGGAAGTCCGGTTCCTGTATCATAGACTCTCCTCCTAGTGTGGCGTCTTTTTTCCTCTACCAATCGGAAGTCCAGTTCCCCCACCAGAGTTTCTTCCTAGTGCGGCATCCTTTTTCCTCTGCTGACCAGAAGTCCAGTTCCCCACCATAGAGTCTCTTCCTAGCGCGGCATCCTTTTTCCTCTGCCAACCGGAAGTCCNGGTAAGGGTTAGGTTTAGGGTTACGTTAAGCGTTAGGGTTAAGGGTTAGCGTTAGGTTTAGCGTTAAGGGTTAGGGTTAGGTTAAGGGTTAGGCTTAGGGTTAGGTTAAGGGTTAGGCTTAGGGTTAGGTTAAGGGTTAGGCTTAGGGTTAGGTTAAGGGTTAGGCTTAGGGTTAGGTTTGGGGGCGTTATGGTAAGGTTTTTGCGTTAATTTTAAATTTACCGCTCACAGCATGCCGTTTTCGTCACGCTGTGATGACGTCACGTACGCGCTTTAGTCGAGCGCACTTTAGTCGACCGCGGTTTTGTGGTGGAACCGGGAAACGGGAGGGGGGATTATATAGAGTGGGGGTGATATAGTGTCAAAATACTTGACTTCTCAGAAAGTCAAGGTCATCTTGCCCCGCAGACGGTGCCTGATTGGGCCCTGTGATGGACACCGTATGAGGGTGCTGGGCAGGGACTTGAAGTTTCACTTCCCTGGGAAAAAAACTGGAAGTTTTCAAATTCGGGTTTCCCCAGATGTGCCAATGTGTCATCTCTAATAACTTTGAAGAAACTCAACCCTCGGAGTCTTCTTTCGTTGGGGGCATTACTTGGAATCCTGACATGGGCAAACAACTATTCATCTTCCAGCTTGATGGACTTGTTAGTTGGGAGAGAAACGTTTTTCTCTCGGGCGCTCCTAATTAATGGAGTTAATTTCAGAGAGTTTCCGTTGTTTGGGGAGCTGGGTCAGAACACCAGGCTTGGAATTAGCAATATTTCAAATTCGGGTTTTTCCCAGATGTGCCAATATGATATCTAATAACTTTGAGGAAACTCAAGTCTTCTTTCATTGGGGGGTGTTACTTGGAGTCCTGATATTGAGGAAAGAGGAGGAACAGATGGGTCCAGTGCCCGACGTGCAAATTTCGCAGAAGGCAGAGGAGAGGAGAGCAGAGGAAATCTATGGGCCAGTCCTTGGGACAGAAGAACCACTACTGTTAGCGAAATCCTACTCTAGCTCTAGGGATAAAAGGCAGGGGGCGGAGATGAATAGGCGTGGCAGACAATTATTCATCTTCCGGATGGACAGTCTTGTTAGCCTGTGGTGAGAGAGAGAGAGAGGGAGGGAGGGAGGGAGGGAGAGAAACTTTTGTTGTCTTTGGGGAGCTGGGTCAGAACAGGTTCCTTCTTCTTTGTTCATGGTGTTAAGTTTTGACTTTAGGCTTCCTGCAAACCAGGTTCTGGGTTTTTCATCCGAGAGCCGTTTTCCCCCCATACCGCAATCAAGGGGTCAAACCCAGTTAGTCTCCCAGCCCCATCTGCGTGCAAGGAGCCATGAATCCCAACCTCTTTTGACCAAGCTCTTAAATCTTCCTTCATTCAGTTCCTCCCACGGTGCATCTCGAGACCCATCCGCCTTCTCCCGTCCAGCTAAACGCCTCGGTGACGGTCATTTGCAAAGCGGAATATTACTATCCGAACGGGGCCAAAGTGGATCTGTTTTGCAAGGATCCCAAAGGGAAAGGAAAAAGCAGCGGGACGATTTATAATTCAAACCGGACATATTCCCACCAGAGTTCCCTGAAGATCACGGCCACCCAAAATTGGAACTCCTCGCTCTTCACTTGTCTGGTGAAACACAACTCGACAGTAATTAAGGCTACCACAAGATTGGTTGTTACAACAGAAGGTAAGTGTGTGTGTGTGTGTGTGTGGGCATTTCTTGAGTTTTTCTTGTTTTCTCCTTCCCCATCTCAGTCCAGGTTGAGTCTAAATTGTGTGTTGTGGCCTGTCGAAGGCCGGTCCCTCCAGCAACCGAATCAGAGGAGGCGGCATGGGGAGTCAGGTTCTGCATTAAGCTCATAAAGTAATAACAGGCGGGATAACAATTCAGTAAATAAATAATATTGGATATCATTTGGAAGAATTCTGACCAAGAAGCTCTGGGAGGTAACCACATTATAGAAATTCAGAACTGGTGGGCAAAAAGGTGTGGAGATCAAAATTTTTGCCACGTGTGTACAAACGACGTTGTGTCGTTTTCCCATTACTCCAGCGTGAAGCCAGTATGACGATAACTTGTGTAATGAAACTCAGAGTGTGGCTCTGTCCATTCATCTAAGATCAAGGCATTGGGGAACAATAGGGAAAAAACAAATGAAATATTGCAAGCTACATGGAAACGGTGAAAGATTAGAGCAAGCAAATGTGTTTCAAAATACCGTGTTTTTCAGAGTATAAGACACTCCGAAGAAAAAGACGTGCCTAGCTTTTGGGGAGGAAAAGGGGGGGAAAAATCTGCCCCTGCCTCCCAGCAATTTGCCTCCTTGCAGCAAACAGCCAGTTTCAATTTCAGCACAGCCTGATTAGTACAAGCAGCTGATTGTTGGGCCTCCCAACGATCAGCTGTTTCAGGCTGCAGAGATTGCCATAGCCTATTGCCGCTCCCCACGTGCCCCATTTTTTGCCTCCACATCTTAGAGCCGAGGTGGCGCAGTGGGTAGAGTGCAGTACTGCAGGCTACTTCAGCTGACTGTTATCTGCAGTTCAGCGGTTCAAATCTCACCAGCTCAGGGTTGACTCAGCCTTCCATCCTTCCGAGGTGGGTGAAATGAGGACCCATTTGGGGGCAATATGCTGACTCTGTAACCCGCTTAGAGAGGGCAGAAAGCCCTATGAAGCGGTATATAAGTCTAACTGCTATTGCTATTGCTAAATAGGTAGGTAGGTAGGTAGGTAGGTAGGTAGGTAGGTAGGTAAATAGATAGATAGATAGATAGATAGATAGATAGATA